AAGAGCAGCATATTTACAACTGAATAACATCTGGAACGCAAAAAAACTCTGTCAAACAACACCAAGGTCAGGATTTTCAATACAAATTTCAACACAGTTCTATTGTAACGGGCAGAAACCTGGAGAACTACCAAAGCCATCATCCAGAAAATACAGGTGTTTATTAACAGTTGTCTACACAAAATACTTCAGATCCGTTGGCCAAACACTATTAGTAACAACCTACTGTGGGAGAGAAAAAACCAGATCTCAACGGAGGAAGAAATCAGGAAGAAGTGCTGGAAGTGGATAGGACACACATTGAGAAAAGCACCCAACTGCATCACAAGACAAGCCCTCACACGGAATCCTCAAGGCCAAATGAAAAGAGGAAGACCATAGAACACATTACGCCGAGAAATGGAGACAGACATGAGAAAAATGAGCAAGAATTGGATGGAACTAGAAAAGAAGTCTCAGGACAGAGTGGGTTGTAGAATGCTGGTCGGTGGCCTATGCTTCATTTGGAGTAACAGGCCTAAGTATGTTATTATCAACCGTTTTTGAAACAGGTCACACAATTCCTCCACATTGTTGTGTTACATTTCTATGTATTTACATGAATTCGTGGCATTCAATTTACTTTAACTGTATTCTGCCTGCATACTTAATAGTTTACCTTCACTTATTGTGAGTTCACTGAAAATTCTGTTTCCTTATCGTACCTTAAGTTTAAATTTTGATTTATTGTCAATCATTATTTAATCTAACATAGCTACTTGAATAATCTCGTGTTCTCGTTAATTATTCTTACGTAACTATTGCCAAAAACAATTCTTCTTTGACTATACTTTGACGAGTGTAACTACCTAGATACCTCACACACGGAAGATTGTAAAACGTACTACTTATGTTACCATTTATTAGTAGTATCGTCCTGTAAACAAATTCTATCTTGAGGTATGAGGTTGTGGAAATTATAAAATCTTTTATTAGGATCATGAGTCGATTGATGTTTGACCACCATTGAAAACCTGGAAGCATTGGATGGCCGTTTCATCCTAGTATGGGACTCTTCAGCAGTATCCATCGAATCAAGGACGTTCGGTCTCGCGCGCGAACGCTTAACCTCTAAACCACTGAGTCGGTATCCAACGGTGTTAATGTCTAACTTCAACCAATCCGCGAAATTGTGCAACCATCTTCCATTGTTTGAAGTAGATAAATGTTTCCAGATTTTCAATAGTGGTCTAACATCAATCGATTCGTGATCTCAACCAAAGCTTTTATCCTTGTTTGGATTCGGGATTTTCTGCATGACTCAATCGTTCGGTCTTTAATCCTCAGGTTGACTTACCACACTTAATGTCCTAATTCCCAGCTGTTTCTGGACAGAAAAACACACAGTGAGAATTAGTGATGACATTTCGCACAATAATTTTAACTAAACCTTTCACGATTATGAAACAGTTTTCGCATACTTTTATTCTTTTCTTTCTGCACCGCCATCACTGAATATTATACCTGTCCTACAAATAAAGATATGATTATTTGTAAATTAATTCGATGTCATTTTGTCGATCAGTCAGAAAATGTGTGATTTCCAAAGGGATACATATATCCCATCCTGTATGCCAAGTCCTACTTAGTGGTGATAGAATTTTATTGATCACACTGCAATGTGGTTACCAGCTTAGATGACTCGATATTGCACGCATAATGTTGAGATGTAAAGTGGTTGAAATTAGTTAGTAGAAATACCTGGACCTAGGTCTTTTATATGACAGGATAGAAAGATGATATTATTCAAGTCAATCTTATCTTGTGTCAATTCAGTATAAACTTTGTTCTATATGACAAGTGTGGAATTTATATTTCCTATATCAATTCGCATCAACTATAATTAGTGTACATTTTCGCAGTTGACTCTACACATTTCCTCCTTTATGTTTCATTATAAATTGAGTAAAAAGTACCATAGAAATGATTGTGTTTTGAGACTTGATTCTGGGGAGTCAATAGATTTTCATTACTCCGATCTTTCATGTTCTCACTTTTTATCTTCGGAATTGCAGTGGCCCCCAATTGTTCAGTAAAAGCAGTAAGAGTGAAGACCCAACATAGTTGATAAGCAGAAAGTGACTCGCCGACATAACAGTTTTGTGCTATTTAAGACAAGTCGTTAAGGTGTGCCTGAAATCTTGAGGAAACTAATAGACCCTGACCAATTCAACTTCGTATTACCTATAATCACAGTAAGAGATATTGGTACTGAGCTACTTTTCGGATAAGTGGACGGAAACAAATAAAAACATACAGAACACAAGTTCATCTTGATATGAAGTACATAGAATAACAACCACTAAGATTATAATTAAAATTTCTGGAACAATGAAAAAAATCCCTTCACTATTATATACCTGACTGTTTTGATTCTGTGTCATGAAAATTCTACATAACATCTTTACATGGGCAGAGTTTTTTCCCCCACAAAATCAGGTAATCAACTCTTAGACAGAATAAATAGGGTGAATAAAAAGCTTTTAATTCGAATTATTTGTGAATATGAACCCCAACAAATTGGAACGATAAAGAATGTGTATATCTACTTTGCTCACTGACTATTATTACCGGAACGAACCTACAGCTAATTCATTATGGTTAAAAATTTGAAATGAATTATCTGGATGATATTCATCGAAAAAATTACTGAACAATTATTACTGTGTATACTTGACTTGGTTATCGATTTGTATTAGTGTATCAGTAATCGTGAGTAGACCAGGATCCCGACAGATACTTACTGAGTGTCACAATCTTCCCCCCCCCTTTGCCCCCCTTCCAGCCAAACAGGTTGGCGAAGCCTAGTAGACCCATCTGGAGAGAAACAGGCCACGTTGAAGCAATGCACAACCACCGGGGCTAGGATAGCTGTTTCTGCAACCAGTTAGAGTTTTCCCCGTAAGGAGCAACCTCGTACATTACATGCGCCACTTTGGTAAGTTTTTTGTCGTTTTCCCATCCAAGAGTCATTGTGCTGCGTTCCTTTGTGGAGTTCGTAATCGTTTGAGGGTATCGGTCGAGTGGGTGATTATCTCGATCTCTACCATTCGGGTTACCGCTCACGTTAGTTCATAGATCATCTGTCCCACTATTCAGGAAGCACGACGCGGACGTGTGAGTCGGATTTTGTCACAATGTCGCCAAAATAATATTGAGAACAAAATAGAAATAATTTCTAGTATCAAATCAATTTATTAAAACAAACTACAAACAACAGGGACAAGGTGACACGGAAAATATACATTGTATATATGAATGATGTTCTTTTTACAGTTGAGAAAGACATATGTATGAATGATTTACCATCAGAAAGAGAATAATCCTTCCTCTTCATTGACTTCTTAAATCAATTCTTTCATAAGGAAGGGAAGATATGTAAAATAAGGTGAGAGAAAAAACAGAGGTTTGTCACTTATTAGTTTATAATAATCAGGATAATAAGCAAACTATTACTGTCATGTCCGTTTGCATTCTATGTAAATTCTCTTCTTTTCTGATTCTCTTATATACTGTATTATACTACTTAATAACGTTCAGTAATCAGTTTCAATTCTAACTGTACGGTGTACATTATGTTGTGTTTATCTGTTAATTATTAACAGGAGGCGATTTTCCACGGTATCTGGCGTTCAACAATAAGTTTATATGCCATTTGTTCCCTCAGGATCCTAGAGCCCATGTGCATCATTGGTGTGGATTCGAGGTTTCCCAGCTCCCCTAGGTGGATATTCTGTACCCATCAACCCGGTTAAAGCGCCGGATATCCACCTTCTATCCTCTCAATTTCGTAAACAATTCTGCCGCCACCAGAAGGTAGTGAGTAGGCCATGTGAGGGCATTCCACGAGGGGATGCGAACGTTCCCCCATCCTCGGTCGTACTAGAGCATTTTGGAGTAATTAAAAACCACTAGATTTACCTGATAACAGTTTCAAGTGATTTGCATAGAAATTTCTAAAGGCCCATTCCTAAGTTTATAAATTTTTCGAATCAACCCTGCCTTCCTAGACTAGCGAAATTTAAATACACATGTCATAATCATCTTTTTTTGTATATTACCCCAAACTACTTACTAATATAAGTAGGTCAAGTATTTTCAAACTTTTCTAAAGGTTGAATACAGTAAAATTTGCCAACCATAAATCTCAGCGTTTTATTTCGCTCTTCTTACTTGTAATCGATTTGTCTACATTAGTTACTAATATTGTTTCATTGCATTTATGTGGTACGTATCCTGAATAATTTGCTTATTTTCATATTGAGTGCTATTAATAAAACATTCTGTGATATTATTCATACCCAACAGATTGGGATATGATTTCTATTGAACTAAAAGGCATAAACTTTTGGTGTAGTTTTGATGATTAAGTGCAAAAACACTTTGTTTCTTTCAACTCTGACCAATCTAACCTCCCAATGAAGATTTATTTGGTAGAGAATAAAGCATACGGATCTAAGCAGGCGAAATATGTGCATGAGCACGTGTACAATGAACTCAAAAATACATCAAAAACTTAGTACAGTAAAAGACACGGACCAATAAGAAAACAGCACCTTTAAACACGATTGACGATTTCGAAGGAAGAAACATAGATTCAACTTCAAAAAAATAATGATTAAATAAGCGATTTCCAAGAGACTTAACATCCTTTTCCTTTCAACAAATACTAACTCAAAGATAATTGTCGTCACAAACAAATGTCAGTTGAATAGCATCATTGGATATCATCAGCAAGGATTTGGGAATTACTTCGTTATAATCCTAGAGCCTTATTAAACAGTGAGCACTTATGTGATAAGCCCGTAACAACATTTATGGATTATCGTTAGCATGATATTCGTCAACAACAGCTTCCTATATTAAAATTTCGACTTATTTATTAAACTTGATTTAAAAATGATAAATAACAATTGAATAACTTGCTTGTCTTAGTCCCTTCAATAAGAGTCGGTAATCAATTACTTCTTCTTTCTTCTAGTAATTGCTCCACCTTTACCGCTAGCAATCAATTTCGCTTCTTCAGCTGCTTCATATTCTTCAATTAATGCATCGCTAGTTGCTTGTCGAGTTGGACAATACTTTAGATACTCCATTGTAAATTCACCTTTACCCTCAGTAATACTGCGTAATTCACCGGAAAAGCCAAACATATCATTTAATGGTACCTATTAGAAACAGTGGAGAGGATGAATAATTGTTGGGTGTGAAAAAGTTAACGACCTGTTTAAAAATATTGCATAACAATTAGATTTCTATGTTACATTCTTTTTAAATACACATATACAAATCAGGTTGTATGTATTTAATGATGATATTTTCAGATCTGTGATATCCGAGTCATCCGAAAATCAAATATATTATTATTATTATTAGTCAGTAATAATATAAATAACAGAATAGTAATGACCGTTATCGGACTATGTGATTACATGGTGGTGATAAGAGGATAGACAGTCAGTCAGTTACAACGTAGGACAAGGCACATATATGCATCAGGTCCAAGTTTCAATACCTCATTAGTACGGCAAGATGAACATCGGATTCATAGAAGCAGTTAATTCAATGGTGTAATATATAAAGGAAAGATTTTATATAAGGATATAATACAGAAAGAAGGAATTAGTTCGTAGAAAGAAAGATATGAAGTGATTTCAATCTTATAGTTTAAGGGAAGACAGAGAGTGTATACACTGACGCCATTGTGATCGATTCTGAGCCATGTCACCCAGAGTCTCCAACCATTGGTTACAATAGTCACGTGAACCCTAACTAAGTAGTCTGCATCTACCAACATGGCTCAGACTAGAAGTTAGTGACTTCAAGCACTGATGCCACGTTTTGGTTTGGCCGCCCCTAATTTTCTTCCAACCATCTCGAACACCGGTTAGCATTGCACGTCGAGGTAATCAGTGTTCAGGCATATGCAACACGTGACCCAACAATCTCAGTCGACGAAGATTTACAACCTTATCAACTGATTTACCATCATTACCTAATACCATGCGTCTACTCTGGCTATTACTTACCCGGTGATCCCAGCAGACGTCAGCAATATTTCTAAGGCATCTGTGGTCAAATACTAGTGACTTACGAGTATCTTCTACTCTTAATGGCCACGTTTCGCAGCCGTAAAGTAGAACGGAACGAACTGATGAGCAGTATACTCGTCCTTTTATTGATAGACGGATATCTCGCCTTCGCCATAGGTGACGTAAGTTGGAAAAAGCCAAAGAAGCTTCTTGAATGCGTGCAGAGATTTCGTCAGACATCAACTCACTAAGGCTGATTAGACTTCCAAGATAAGTGAAGTTATCGACGCGTTCGACTACTTCACTCCCTACCCTATCCTTAATTTAGGTGTTGACGCAGGCCAGTCCTGAAGCAACAACTTGCATTTAGAGGGACAGAAGCGCATCCCAAACACCCTGGCATTGTTGCACAGTGCTATCAAAAGACTCTGCATTTTATCAGCGTCCTCACCATAAATGACTATATCATCTGTGGGGATAGACAACACTTAAGGATTTGTCTTGCATAAATGGGTCGGGAACAATCCGGATGTTGGTTTCGGTTGAATCATTCAAGGTGAACGAGTATTTAAGAAGTTAATCGAAGCTTTTTTTTATGTAAACTGTTGAGTAAAACCTTGAGTAATTTTGTTTTATACTTATATACAAAGTCATAGGGCTTCTTTTTGTAGTATGCTTGATGCCATGATATTAAAATTGTTTTATATCTTTCTTTCTATCAACTAATTCTTTCTTCCTGTGTTATATCCTTATATGCAATTTTTCTTTTATGTATATTACTACCATTGAAGCAACTAGTTCTTGTTGTGCTAATGAAGTATGACATCTTGGACCGATGCATATATGTGCCTGGTCCAACGTTGTAGCTGACTAACTGAGTATATTTGATGTTCACATTATTCTGTGTTTTCTTTCGATAGCAGTAGATCGTGTAAAGTATACTGGTACGAAGAGTATTACACATGATAAATACAAGAAGTTTCCAAAGTTTCACACAACAAGAGGAAACAAATAATTTAATGATTATGATTGATTGAAAATATTCATGTCGAATTTTAAGAAAAAAATATAGAACTCACTTCTGCATTAACCATAGCATAAGATTCACTAACTTCCGTACTGACAATAAGACCATTACGTCGTGTTACAGTGGCAATTAATACACCTTGAAATTCTGCTGGTGCAGATACTTCCACATACATAATCGGCTCTAATAATAACCAGGAACCTTCATCCATAGCTAGATAGATACATATTGATATAGAAGAAAAGAAAACATTCAATAGTTACTCATTTAGATGAAGAGAAGAGTCTTTTTTTGTTTCAAGGATTTGCGTTAAACGCTTACAATCGTAATTAAGTAATAATCATTGGTAACTAAGAAAAATTGACACGTCACACACAGTTGGTTCTCTTCACAATTTTAATAAAAGAAAGAATCATACTGATTATAGACTACAATTCTTTGAGAGACGACATATTGGCTTTGAGAGTGTTCTTATTTATTTATTTATTTTAACACATAAATATCGGTACAAGGAGGCACCAAACACATATGCGCCACACAAATCTCATTCGATATGTGTGAGGGCTGTGATACTGCCCGGGTGCCCAAACCGAAGCAGGTGGTTTTCTTAGGGGGCCACACCCCGAGCCTTCGACCTGAAGGTCTAACCCACAAGGCAGTGGAGCATCGTAAGGAGATGCAGTCCCATAGAAGCCGGTGACCAACAATTGGTTCACACGCCTTTTGTTCCCGCAGGATACTGGAGCCCATGTGCACCATTCGTTTGAACCCGGTTAAAGCGCCGGACATTCGCTTTTCGTCCTCTCATTTTCGTAAATAACAGTAATGCCACGAGAAGGCAGTGAGTAGGACTTCCCTGGCAGAGGCTATATACGCGTGGCTGTGTGAGAGCATTTCGAGAGGGAGAGCGGACTCTCCCCACTCTCGGCCGCACCAGGGCATTTGGGGGCTTGAGAGTGTTCACTTAATAACCACGACCAAATGAGGGTTATAAACCAGTGTGGGCAATTAGAATTATGACTTATAGTTGATGGTTAAGGTTACGAAATAGATTTATGGTTTTCATCACGAACTGATATAATCTATAATGCCAAAACTCTATTTAGCCAAATGAATGAGTAAATTTCGCGCCAAAATCTAAGATCTGTTATCTTATACCTGATTGGTTCGTCCATAAATTATAGTCTCGTAGGGAAAGCAATAAAATACAATGAATTGAATGTATATCTACAATCAGTCAGTCAGCAACAACTTAAGAATATACAATACTTCCAGTTGCCATACCACATTAGCACACAGATACAATTGCCCATTCAAATCCCATAGTAGTAGAAGTAGTAAAAGTATAAGCAGTAATCTAAAACATTAGGGTTTGAAGATGTTATTCAAGAAGTATAATCCAGTGAAATAAATTTGGAAAGAGAACAAGTAAAGGGACATGAAGAATCCAGAAGATCAGAATTTGGGAGAACACAAAGAGTAGATGCACCTGCTCCATTACAAACGATTTTGAGCCATGTCTACAATCAATGTTGGCGTTACCTTATTTAACATTTATTCTGTAAATTAATTGAACTAATTCAATTGAAGAAAAAAATATTTACCTTGTTTCATAGCACCTTCAGCTGCTTGTTGAAAAGCCCAATCACTACTATCTACACAATGATTATCTCCATCTTGTAAACGAAATCGTAAACCAGTAATTTTTTGTCCAGCTAACTGACCAACTTGACAAGAATTACGAAAACCAGTTTCAATAGCTGGAACATAATTTTTAGGTACATTTGTACCAACTGTTTCATCGGAAAAAATCAATTTTGTATAGGAATTAGGAGGTAAAGGTTCAAGTATACCAATTACTCGACCATATTGACCAGCACCACCAGATTGTCGTTTATGAAGATAATCAAATCTAAAATAAAGGTGAAAGAAAGAATAAGAAAATGAAAAAAAGTAACTATTGAACAGGTATGAGTAGAATTACTATTGGGTACTATTCTAAACTATAGGTCTGATAATGTCTCATAGACACTGAATGTACTATCGCTTTCTAGGACTCAAACAATAGAGTTCTGGTAGACTAACAGATATCGGTTCTATATAAACTGCTTTTATACCATAAAGATATGTAATAATCTGATCACTATATTCTAGCTTTTTTTACCCAGTCTCAGTGTGAACAAATAGTGGACGATGATGAAAAGGAAGAGATTTTATTCGTAGTGGAAGTGCCAAACAGTAGCGAAATATAGTTAAATCAAGGTTAACGGATGTTTAAATCTCAGAAAATTTGTTTCTGTTGCCCAATAATTTGTTAATTATTGTTTCAAATTCTGATTTTTATATTTCTTATCATCAAAATCGCCATCCCTACTCACCTAGACAAGATGTTCGTGTTTTTCATGACTGACAACGATTTCGCCCTACTGGTTTGTGCTAGGACGACTTCCGAGAGCTACGACAGAGCCTCCAGAGAACCTAGAGGAGTCGAAAAGTTCCATCCAATCGGAACGCAATGGAGCATTCTAGAAAATCAACTTGACATAATACTAATGGTCAGTGGCATAACGTGCCTCTTTGCGGATTGGTTGAATTATCATGTTGATGTAACAAACGGTAATATCTATAAATACCCATGATTTTCTGTACATTTTGATTCTTGCCAACAAGCACTTTCTCCAGTCTTCTTATTTGCGACTCGGAAGGTTCTAGCGTTCAAGTGCTAAAGTTATACGCGGTATATTAAGAATCTGAGCTCTAAATATGACAATTTTTCACTCTTTGGTATACTAATTTTGTGTCCTACATTGTGAACATATTTCAATGCAACTGCATTTCGTTAAGATAATACCTGTTTTAAGGTCTCCAGATAAATTTCTTGAGCAAGATTCTTACATTGACGGGAGCAAATAAGTCAATCAATCATAATAAATATACAGTCTTGATGGAGTTTTGTTCTCTGAGCTGGATGGTTTGATCGTGGTACCTACCTGAAGTTTGTGCTGATGATATCATTCAGAAGAACGATGAAAGCTCCATGACCAAACCATCCAGCTCAGAGAACAAAACTCCATCAAAATCATTCACCTGAGCTACAAATCTTCTCCACCATCTCAAATATACAGTCTAGCACAACTATGTATTGTTCAAACAAAACTAACAAGACGAAAAGTAAATGTTTATCGGTCACTACAAGATTGTCACCTTCAAATGAATTCAAATTAAATGAAAATAGATTTCTTGTTTACTATGGTTTCTACAGATGTTTTCTTCCTACTTTACTCATATTTCTCAATAAATCTCTTTATTTTTTATTTATCTAAACACATAAATATTGGTACAAAGAGGCACCGAATACAAATGCGCCACATAAGTCACTTGATTTGTGAGCGGGCTGTGATACTATCCGGGTGCCCAAACCGAAGCAGGTGATTTTCTTAGGGGCCATACCCGGAGCTTTTGACACAAAGGTCTGATCCACAAGGCAGTGGAGCAACGTAAGGAGATGTGATCCCATGGTAGCCGATGACCAACAATTGGTTTATGTGCCATTTGTTTCTTCAGTATCCTGAGGTTCATGTGGAGCATTGGTTTGGAATCAGGGTTTTCCAACTCCCCTGTGAGGTCAGACAAGGAAGACCGCATCAACCAAAACTTTTTAGGTCACTGATCAATGATTGAATGGACTGATGTCATACATTGGGTTTAACCTCTGTTATCTTCCTACCGACCTATTCCAACCAGCATTATATGTTGATACACAACACATATATTTGATAAATGAGTCGATGAAGACTTACAGTCTTAACAACTGACTTGCCATCTTTGCCTACTACATCTACTGTCTATGAAAAAGAAAGATGAAGAGAACAGTTGTTTTTATCCAGGGTCTAAAGGAAGTAATCGGTCAACATACAGTCAAACCCCATTACTTTATGTTTGTCGATTTTTTCTCTACCATGTACTTCCATGAATGTACATTATATGTGAAGGTCATTACATAATAGGAAAATGTATTCACAATACTACTGCACTTTTATGTACATGAGAATGTCTAGTAACGGGAAAGTAATTAATTCTAATCAAAGTATGTAACAATGTCCTGAATATCAAATTATTATCACATTATGATTTTAGAAACAGCAAAAACAAACTTACTCGAATGGTTCACTTAATGTTTCACGGAATGCAACACGAGGTTTACCTAATATACATGGTGCATTATACTCTCGTGCTAAACGTTGAGCATAAATTTCCAAGTGTAATTCCCCCATACCAGACACTATTGATTCACCAGTATCAGAATCTTGTGAAAGAATAAACGTTGGGTCTTCACGTGTAAATCGTGCTAAACCCTTACTAAATGATTCAATAGTTGATTTATTTGTCGGTTTAATTGACATTGATACAACTGGTTCTGGGATGAACATTGATTCCTATAGTAAAGAAAAAATCAAATATTTCAAAGAAATGATAGAATGATTTGGAACTCAAATGGATGCTTCTTATGTTGTGTTCGCTAAGCTATATCGTTTTGCTTGTAGAACTTCTATTGTCATTCTGGGAAGCATCATCAGTCTATACTTCATGCAGAAGTGAGATTTTCAATTATTCTACTGTAGTGAAGGAGAACACAAGTGAGGACAACCGAATTGTATCTAGCATAAAATTACAGAGTTACTTGGTAAAATAGAAAAACAATATAGTAAATCGTTAATTTGCAAAATATCATTCCATCATATCAAACTGGACTGTTGCCGTTGCAAACATCAATCCATTGTCTCATATTTCATTGTCCATGCGATTCCTTACAAATTCCATTGTGTTCTCGCTCTTCCTTTCTTGATCTTCCCCATCTTCTGCTGCCAGACATTACGTTCTTTAACTTGCGTTATATACTACTTACATCAATATAAGTAGCACGCACCACACTACGAGTGTTACATCAACTAGTTTTGATATCCTTGTTTATTATTGGTTGTCTACATAAGTTCTACTATCATCATATCTTAGTGTTCCAGTTGACTGTTTTATTCAGTCAACATCTGAACATTTGATTGGTTGGTCTCTTTCATATGGGTTGATAGATCGTATCTATATCGAGATGTATATTAATTGCCGAATGATTTGAATGACGGACTTCTAAAAATTCTGTCACGTTCTTAGAACTCCCATGCTTCATAATTTCAAAATTCACCTGATCTAATTTAAATATTCGGTTGTCTGTGCTAATAATGCATACCGTTTCGCCTTACTGCTAATCTATGTTCATGTATGGGTAGATGAAGAGGGTGTCCACTTTATTCAATGTAAATAGATACAGATAGAAGCTCTGCAATTAGACAATTCGGTGCATAGAATACAATATCAATATATTCAGAAGGAATACAGAAGCCATAATAGTGTAATTTCGCACAGTGACATGAGGTGTAGAACGATTTAGAAAATAAGGACTAGTAGCACTGTCTTGTGCTACTTTTGGATCTTTTGACAGTATGCATCTATAGATCCATAAGCTATATCTAGTTGTCCATATTTTCTGAATCCCAGTCTACCTGTAATATAACGTGATTGAAAACCAACATCATTGATGAGCCATCACTACACACCATTCTCTATTTAGCTGACTAATAAGTGACTTTGAGATGATTTACTTGGAAGTGATGACAGAAAATTTGCCAGTTACATTGGTTAAGGAGTGAACTAGATCACAAATTGGTCGGAGCTGAAAACATGGGTCGGTGGATTCTGATTCACATGTTGAATTAAATCGTGTTCACTATGAGAATTTAGTCTTGGGCTCGATTCCGTGTGATGAAAATCAACTTCACCATTAGCAACTTAAATCTGACGGATTTTCCATTTCGGCGATAAAATCATGCAGTGAGCTAACAATAATGTCTTGTTAAAAGTGAATGTGAAGGGTGCTACTTCACAGTTGTTCACACAGTGGAAGAATGTTTCTTGAGGGACCTATAAGGGGAATTGGATTACTGGTGGTTTTTATCAAACTGGGAATGTAACTTTGAGACCAAAGGGATAAATGCTTAAGCCTCGTCACACACACACCGCCTTTCTGCAAGTAGTTATTAAAGTGTTAAGTTCGTAATTTGAAGGCCTATCATAAGTACATTGTCATCTATTGAAACCGCGTAATAAAATAAACTTGATATTAATAATATACTTTGCTTATATTCGTGCTTCATTTTCACTGGTACTTAAAAACAATATTAGGTTGTTTTAATCTCAACTCTCATAACAACTATAAATCGATAATTCGAAGACGCATATCGGTTACATTATTAGGAAAGTAGTCAACATTCAATATTTAAAATAACTTGATCCAGATCACAATTTAATTTAGAAATATAACCAGAAAAGATAGATTTTCCTTTCTCGACCCTAATAAGAAACTTAGTAATGTGTAATAAAACATACATATTTAAATGTCATTAAAAAGGTAGTTTAGTGGTCAAATAACTCGCTTTTCAACTACTGACAACTCCATTTGTTCGAGTCCCATTTAATATCAATACTGGCCTATATATAGTGAATGCCTTTAGGAAGAATGCATAAACATGTCATTAACAAGTTAAGTTTGCATACGTGATTACAAAATAGCATCATGTTAGACAAGTTAATGTTCCACTGGCGAAATAAACACCGTCATCAGGTTATAAACTTACTCAGATTTTGTTAAGTAGAAAAACTCACCATAGCTAATGGTTCTTTCATATTTACATCAACCATTGTATCACCAGATGCACAATCAACACCGAAAAATGCAGCAATATCTCCTGCATAAACAGCTTCTAAATCTTCTAATTCTGTAACATTTAATCGACCAAGTCGAGACACTCGAATACGACGACCTGTACGAGAATTTCTCACTGAATCACCACGACGTAAACAACCTTGATAGATACGCATATAAGTTAACTGACCAAATTTACTAGCCTAAATTTCAAAAAAAAAAAACTAAGATGATCCGACCAACAACAAAAAAAGGTACCAAATTCGATAAGCAATCTTACTAAACTATTTTTAATTGATAAACTCACATTTAGGTTGATCGACACTGTATGTAACTTCAGTGCTTATATGATAGGAGATCAAGTTGATATCAGCCTATATAGTAACAATTTTTTTTCAAATCAATATCTTAACTCATTAACGCATTTACAAAAATCAAAGTAATTCTGATATATTCATTTCCAGTTAATATACTTTGTGTGAATTACAATTTGACAAGAAAGTATCAATAAGATAGATGAATTGGATAACAGCTATCGATGTAACTATGCTATTAAGACCGAGTCAATTAGAACCCAACAAATAGGAATTTCGGTTTGTTGTGCAAAATTCAAAAGTCAGTCAGTCAGTGACGACGTAGAACTTCGTACGTATATACATCACTTCCAGTTACCATACCACGTTAGCACAGAAATACAATTGTCGTTTCAGATCGCATAGTGGTAGAGGTAGTAAAAGTATAAGTAGTAATCGCAAAGATTAGGGTTTGAAGATGTTATTCAAGGAGTATAATCCAGTGAAATAAATTTGGACAGAGAACAAGTAAAGGGACATGAAGAATCCAGAAGATTAGGATTTGGGAGAACATAAAGAGTGGAGTCACCTGCGCTATTACAAGTGATTGTGAGCTATGTCATTCAAGGTCTCTAACCATCGGTTTCTATCGTCTCGCGGATCCCAACCAGGTAATCTACACCTACCAACATGGCTCACTTCACTTATCAGTGACTTCATGGATTTGTGTCATGTTTTGATCTGACCACCCCCCCATAGTAAACAGCTCTTACTTTATACGATGAGAATTTTACAAAACATTTGTAAACTGCTCAGGAAGTTTATAAGTAGTAAAGAAAGTTTACAGATTCCTTTCTTACTTGTTGAAAAGTGATTTCGAAATCATAAGGTCAATTAAACACCGTTACTGTCTCAGGCCTATAGTACAGCTACACTATTTGGCCTGTGTACAGACGGAAACAGATAAGACTAATCGATTAGGAGAAAGGTAAGTTTGATCAAACAATCAATCAGATTAAATTAATTCCGAACAATGTAAAATTTATGAGTGCAAGTGTAGTATAAGGATGAGCCAATCATAATCGAATAAACGCCTTTGAGTTTATGTGTGAAATTCACGTACAATGAATAGCACAAATACTACTTTGTTAAGTGCTTGGAACGTTAGAGATTTTAAACAAAAATGTTTGTTACCATGAAGTTAATATGCTTGAATGCTAATACGAGTTCACCGTACTCGGTAAACGGAACAAAGGTCAAAGACACAGTGACAGGATAGGTTATTCTAATCCGTTGTCCTCGGCCCTGCTAATTAGATCGAGAAGTGTTGATGAGGCGTAGAGAATGTATTCTACAAGCACCCAGAAAATACGAGGTCACTAAGTACATAAAGCAAGCTTATTTGTACAATGATAGAAACATCCTTGGGAGAGCCACAAAATAGTGTACTAAAAAAGTCCGTCAACCAATGACAGTCAAGGATTTCCGAGGGGGAAATGTAAGCTGTAGGTCAACTAAGCGTCTCTTGGAGCGAAAACACAAAGTTCAAATTTTCGGAATAAAATTACAAAATGTTGGACCTTTTCCAAATGAGCTCTGGGGACCCAACGTCCTCAATAGAAGTAAAAACGATAGTGTTAAACATATCGAAGGTGAAATTCGCTGTGTATCGCTTGTATACTACAAGCAAATTAATCCCAAGCCTTCAAACTTAATTCTGTAACTGTAAACCCGAACCGGGAATAATGTTCAGACTATTAAAAAATATCTCTTGCTACCTTATAAGGTTTGAGAAGACGAATATTTTGTAGCTACATACACAAATTCATGTGTCGTTGTTTTTTCTAATTACGGGCAAAGAAAAAACTTGTAAACAACCCAGATAGATACATTAATTACGAAAAATTTTCATAATATTATAGTTCTTCTCCATATGCCACTGACTGATAATAACTGCTTTCCCCAAGTGTTTGACAACGGGATAGAATTTGCCGTAGTTATTTTAGGAATTATTCAAGTTTGTCTCACTTTATAATCCCCAATAAAATTGAAACCGCACTAACAGCAATAAAAGGTATGTCATTATAACGAATATTGCCGAAAATTTAATCATGTTAGGATTATACTAGCATAACACGTTTTGTAGTTAACAATTAAAACTATTGGAAAAGTCACTAATGTAATTTGTAAGACAACTGGGAATCAGTAATAACTCTGAAAATATGTAAACGAAACACGTTAAAAGTAATGAATATGAGAATATTACTAACTTCCAGTTTGAAAGCCAGTCCCAGGAATGGATTATCACTGCTTCGTTCAGGTTTCAGTGGGACCTTTCTAGTTTCACTGAAACATAAAAGCACATATAGAAAGTGTTAAATAAATCTAAAACAGGTAATAATATTAGTATGTACACCAGTGGATTCCCGCTCAGTGATATAGAGGTCAAGTGTACACGAGTGGGACCGAAGGTCCTCGGTTCGATTCCAGACGGCAGAATCGTTGATAAACATTTCACATTACTACAAAAACGAAATAGCCATTTCGTGCACCAAGGATTTTAATAGTTGTCTAACTCAGATCAGTTCATAACTTCAATAATAGAATTGATATTAGTTGGTTAAACTTGAAAAGCTATTAATTAAAAAAAGAAACATTTAGAAAAGAGGTCTCTAATTTCAAACTATTAGATGGTGTGACCAAACTTCAATAAGGCTTGACTAATATCAGTGTAAATCATCCTCAAATAAAAATCATTTAAACACTAGTTAAGAGATGAAATGCAATCCCTAATAAATAAATGCATTAGGTATACGAAAAGAAGATTGACACAGTTGTTGAATACAAATATTTTTATATTATCTTGAGAAATAGAGCAACGGGTAGACGTATGCTATATTGATCACCCGCAAAGACTTCTGAATAATCCTAAGAAAATAAAGTCAACATTTAACCAACCAGAATGAGATTGATAAAAACAAACAATTTACCACACAAAAACCCGAAAAGGTCGTGACTTTATTAAGAATTTAGGGTTAGGCCTAGAAATTGGAATCGGATGGAATACAGCGTTAGCGGTTAGGCGTAATAATTAAGAATCAAACAGAGAAATACTTTGTAGTCCAATACGAATCAATACCTATGTTTTTAGTCATTTGATTCTAGATATCAAGAAACGTTAAAGTACCCTTGAAAACGTATTAATCATGGTGTACATCGTCTCCTATATTTATCAATTATAAACATTCTAGTAACTAAATATTAGAAGTATTTAGTTAGTTATTAATAAGATACAAGCTATTCATAATCGAATTTTGAACTTCGTGCAAAAATTCAAGAGACACTATCTTAAACCTTATTGGTTCGTCAGTATAGTATAGTTTTACCAATTGGTGAGAAAAAAAGGACAAATCGAACAATGAACAAAGTTAATTTTAAGGTGAATCCTGTGATCTATTCTTGTAGATCTGAACATTAACACGAAATTTTCCATTGTAGGTACTGATTGACTGACTGACTTATATAGAGCCTTTAGTAGTTAGCCCTCCAGTGTTATGAATGAGTACTTTTTCCTAAAGACACCGATAGTTCCAGTGGTTAAGGACATTTGGATTGCCGAACACCTCCCATGAGAGTAAGTCTAATACGTAATTTTCATTGATTTTGCAAATCACATCGATTAGTAACGTAACCCTTCTTTGTGCAAACTTTCTTTAACATTTATGTTAAATATAAACAAATAATTTCATTACATAAATGTCTACAAACACTTCTAGAAAGATCCAGAAACTGCAGAATCCCAACATTAGCTTAAACCAATCAAAATATTCTGAAAATTCCATAAATCGTTCAAAGGTCAGTACTATAAGTGTTTAGGGTAAATAAATATTAACAAATTTTCATTAAAAAAAAACAGATAAACCAATGAAAAGAACCTACCCAGAACTTTCATTCAAAGCATAATAGATTACTTCTCCAGGATTAGGCAAATAATCCAAATGGCATCGAGTAAAAGCTGTACACCACGGTTACGTAATGCTGAACCAACTAAAACTGGAACAAATCGTCTTGCAAGTGTAGCTCTATGTAAACCAGCTTTTAATTCAGCTTGAGTTAATGGCTTTTCACTTAAAAATGCTTCTCCAATCTCGTCATCAGCATTAGCTAAACATTCTGGAATGTAAGAAGAGAAAGAATGTTAGAAAATAATAACCATGGAAAAAAGTTCGATTCAATAAAAGATTGAACTAACGAAGTAAGACGTCAGACAAGTAAAATTGTAACCAGATTTTTGACTTTTAGGTATTAGATTTGTTTAGTAATTGAATTCATGAGTCAATTGAAGCTAGACAATCATGGAAAACCTGGAATCACTGGATGGCCGTTTCATCCTAGTATGGAACTCCTCAGCAGTGCGCATCCATGATCCCGCCCCGCGAGATTCGAACCCAGGACCTATCAGTCTCGCGCGCGAACGCTTAACCTTTAGACCACTGAGCCGGCTGCGGCCGCCTTTCGTAACTCAAGTAATTTTACCCCATACAGTCTGGTAAAAACTTGATGAAATTAGTTAAGATCCAAAGCATACTGCAAAGTTTTCCACTGAATTATAGAAAACTTGCACGCACTATGTTATCACACTTGATCTCAGTACAATGATATACACAAGTAATGGCTTAATTCAAGAAGAAAAATATTAGCGCAACAAAACTTGTTTATCTTATGGTTAAGAAAATCTATTTGATACATTCTCATAAAAATTGCAACGTGATCCGGTCATCAACTAAGTATTTACGTTCTAGATGGCTTTTAAAGTGTCAGTTTCTTTTATAAACTACGGGCTGGCTAAAGATAAACCACACCAATAATGAAGCTTATCAAAACCTAGGAAAGTAACTACGAAACTTTAATAGATCTGGCTACATATAATTATGCTCTGAACTTCTTCGCTTAGTCTTCTAGATTATGAATTCTCGTAAACAACATTTCATAAATAGTATATTGGTTGAAGTTAGACATTAACATTGCCGGTTCAGTGGTCTAGTTGGTTAAGCGCCTGGCGCGAGGCTGATAGGTCCTGGGTTCGAATCTCGCGGGGCGGGATCGTGAATGCGCACTGCTGAGGAGCTCCGTACTAGGACGAAACGGCCGTTCAGTGCTTCCAGGTTTTCCATGGTGGTCTAGCTTCAATTGAATCATGATTTCAACCAGTGGAATAGTATATTGTCGACATTTATCATGGTCAACCTATATTATGCCCCTTTTTTCATGTAAAAACTATAAATATATTAACGTATTTTTTTCTTATTGTGCTTCTTACTTACATCTACCCATGTTATATGGAATATAATTTCGTTCCTGTTCAACTATGTTCTGATTTGGGTAATTGTCGAGTGAATTGGTGTCCCAGAATATTAAGCAATAGGAATAGCTGGGTAATAATAAGAGAAATTATAACACATTTCATTCTTATATACCAGGCAAGCTTGAATAAATCACATACTGTTGCAAAGTCATATGGTCATATAGAACAAAACGTGTAAAATAATTTTGAAATTCTGTATCTAAGGGAATACAAAGAGTAAATGTATTTACGGCGTTCAGATTGGTCCTGAGCTGTTACGCAACCATTAAGTTAACAGAGCAAAAAGAAGGTGAATAATGAAAGGGAAAACATAAGACTAAATAAAAATAAACTGTATTTCATTAAAACAAAACAAAATTACCAATAAATTCAGCACGACGTTCTTTAGTTTCGGCTAACATGGAAGATGGGATAGCATCCTGTCTTACAGTTAAACTATTAGGAAAAAATCACAGTAAGATAAATTGTACATTTTAGATCAAAAGATGTAAGGTTAATAATGTGACACGTTAAACTGTATAGCAACCATAACTAATCACAGATAATACCCCAGTTACATGATATTATTATACTCTTCAGTCAAGTTTACCGACCAATTTAAACAAATTGGTCTTTTCTTATCATAAACCGAGTTTGTCACTAAAATATTAAGAGAAGATCAAATTATTTTTGAACGGAAGCCTGAGTACCATGGAACAACAGAGTGAGAAATCCTAAGACTAGAGATGTATAATAAGTCAGTGGATGAAGCTGAGTTCTCATCCATCGAAGTGTTTGGGATATACATTATCGATGAGCAACTGAAATCTACCCTTGTGCGAGAAAGTAACTGGAGTAGGAATAGGTTGTAAGAGGGATAAAAGGGTTCGAACAATTAAGTTATTGACTGTTAGTCTGAGCCGCGTTGGTAGGTTCAGACTATTCAGTCGGGATCCGTATAACAATCGTGGCCAATGGTCGAAGATCTTAGATGATATGACTTAAGATCCGTCGCAGTGGCATGGATGTATTCACTCTTCTTGTCTTAGATCTTAAGTGAAATTTACTGTTAGAAAGTTAGTCATATTTCCTCTTTGACCAAGCCTATGTAGATATGTAACTAACTAGTTCACATTCAAGTGCTTACACCTCAACGTATCACAACTTTAGAGTCATAGAATAACACGCAACAAAAATTAAATAAATTAATCATAGTTATCACAAATTAGGATGAGTGTACACAAACATGATATTTCTTACCCTTATTAATATTTAACGATAAAATTAAATAAAATCGATGAACCAAACTACTTTACAAAATGGAAAGTAGTTACCTTTGATACTACTACTTAACTTTAAATCAAGGATACTAAAACTCCTTAGTTCATTCATCAACAATAACAATAAAAAATTGTAGCACAATAGTTCATTGGGTGAAAAATTTTCATATTTTGTTTAATAGAACAAGACACAACAGCTAGAAAGTAAATGTATTCTAGTAAACAAGAAAACATGGGATGGTGACTTATCCACTGAACGGTTCGGGTTCCAATTCTATATACTTTGTTTTAAGTCGCTGAGTAGCATTACTACTCCTTAGACAAACAATGGGGTTGGATAGGAGTGAATGGACGTATACTTGATGAGTTACACTATGGTAAGATATGTCATCATATCAATGAGATCAACACTATTTCATGTTTTTCAGTTGTTAACGCGTTTAACCTTAAGAATCACGTTCTGGTAGTCCGCAGTTTTATAAACGATTGAGGCTGATAAATAATGACTTCATACGGATTTGAGCAACGCACTTTGTATGACGACCGGTGACGCTACTCCCCAGTTAAAACCCAAAGCAAACGGGGAGGGGGTCCGTATCAGTAACGGTTAAAAGTTAGACACGTTGACCACTAAATTACAGCACTAAATGAAAGAATACAAAATATTCATTAAAACTAAGGAGGGTGTTAGTGGGACATAGACTGGATTAAAGCATGCTCAATGCATATTGCCTTGGCGCACGCTGATTGGCTAATTATTATCCAATTAGCGTTAGCCAATACTTAGTGAACACTAGAAATCTCATGTGAAAAAACTATAAATATACTAACGTTTTCCCTATTGCATTTACTCACTTCCTAAACAACCGTGTTCTGATTTGGGGACTTGTCGAGTGAATCAGTGTTCGAGAATACTAAGCAATAGGAATGGTTGGGTTATAACCCTAAGAGAGAATTATAACAGAGGGGAATGCAAAAACTGATGAGGAAAAAAATCTTTACTCAAACACTTACCCAAACGGTTCATCAAAATAAACAACTGTCTCACTAATCAAGTCAATTATTCCTGTACTTTTTGGCTCTTGACATATGGGTATATTAATAAAAGCTGAATTGAAGTTAAGCTTTGACCTAAACAAAAATCAGTGAGAAGGAAAGGAGTATATATATTTACAATATAAATGGCATTTAGATAATTAAACAAGTGAATTTGAATAATTTTCGATCGGATTTGGGTAGACATTGAGACTAAACATTATTCGTCTACTAGTCAATATTTCAAAGTGATTTTCTCCTGCCAATATGACCACTACTATATTATTACTACCAATAGTATTGATATCACCTGGCTCCCCAGATCAAATCAAGTCAACTGAGGTTTGAAATTTAGATCTACTAGTTGGAAGCCGAGAGGGTTTATCTCTAAGCCTCTATATAAAGCATGCTTAAGGGCCGTGAAACATTAAAAAAAAAACTTACTTTAAATGGCATCCAAAGGTTATTGTATACACATACCCTAAGTTAGTACACTAAGATTGGGAATTAATGAAACGAGAAGCAAAGGATAGAAATTAGTTTCGAATAAAATGCGAATAAGAACGTGAAAAATAGTTTTAACGGAATAAACGAAACAAATGACTGAAAACCTAGGAATGGCATAACTAGTGCTTTGGAGAAGACAGAAGAATGCGATTCGGTTAGTACAATCGATATTGAGTCATGTAACTCAAAAATTGAGAGTATTGTAGAGACCCAAACCAGGAGGTCTGTACCTACCGATAAGGCTTGAACTAGTAGTCAATAATTTTATACAATAACCATTTTATGTCATCTGCCAAGTGTTTTAATATTTAGTTTTATTTATTTATTTGCAAATTTCCTGTAATTAGAAGTGAACAATTTCTACAGCTAAATTTCTATATAAAGATCATCGAACAAACTCAATAAATCGGATGCATAACGACAACACTATTATCATGATTATGAACGAACTATGGTGTAGTTATTGTTGACAGAGAATTGTGTCAATAAAGTCAAGTTACTTTTGCATGGTTCATTAAGATTCTCAATAGTTTATTCAAAAAAGGATCTATTTAACGCATACGTAGCCCTTCGGGTACGATGAGTTCATACTTCCTTTTGTGCTAACTATTGATGCAGCTAATCTTTTGTCAACTGTGACAGTCATAATCAGCGTAGAGCGCGGAACAAATATTTGATTTCACGAGTTGGCATATTATGTTAGTACGACGAGAGGAAATTAACAAGTCGAAATAATGCATTAGTAATGATAATGAGAAAGACTAAACATCGATAATACAGTCCGAAAACTGAATGAAAAGGTATGCATGAAGGAATACTCAAACTCAAGATTCAGATGAAAATAAAAAGTGAACGAACCTAAGCCACTGTAATCAATCCTAAGTCATTTCATCTACCATCTTCAACCACTGATAGCAACTATCGCAGTGACCCAACTAGGGGATCCAGACATATCTATATGGCTCAAACTAGTGGTCAATGACTATAATTTTCGCCCAATTTGTCACATTTAACTAACACCCTAAGCTTAACCTCAACATTACACACTCGGTTGCTCCATGGGACGCGAGCAACATTTCGAAGACATCTATCATCAAAAACCTGCAGCTTATGCATGCCTCCAACTTCTAAAGTCCAAGTTACATGCCCATAAAGTGATTCATCAGCTGTACTTTTGCTGAATCAAATACTAATTTCAAATCAGCTTGATATACGAAATAAGTTATATGAACTGGGTTCAGAATTCTAGTCGCGGACCATTACAATAACATCCTACTTAAAACATTTAAGAATGGTTTACGAAGTTTCCTCTCGTAAAAAGATTTATTTCAATGACGGTGAACTGTATTGACACAAGCTATCGTTTAATCAAATATGGCCTAAATTGCACTCAATTTTCTGTGCAACTGATTATTCTGAACTAGTACAGATAGGAAAACCAGTAAATAATAATTCACTATATTGGCAGATTCTACAACTACGATCCAGACAATAAGTTGTGGAGTTAGAATGTGATTGGTTTACAAGTTGCTGAAACAGTGATAATCAATTAAAAACTAGATAAAACTAGCAAATTTATGAAGCTCGGTCTTAGGAATCACCTTATTTGATTAAGAACTCGAACATGATCTGCACCTTGGCGATCAAGTTTGTTAATAAATGCGATTCGAGGTATATTATAACGATCCATTTGCCTAGTCACTGTGATTGTTTGACATTGGACTCCACCGACAGCACATAATACTAGAACTGCACCATCAAGTACTCGAAGAGCTCTTTCAACTTCGACTGTGAAATCTACGTGACCGGGTGTATCAATGAGATTGATAGTGCAATCTTTCCACATTGTAAAGGTTGAAGCAGATTGAATTGTTATTCCACGGAGTCTCTCTAGCTCCATTGAGTCCATCACAGCACCAACTCCATCTTTGCCTCTAACCTATATCAAAAGCGTCATTTTTACAAAACATACGTAAACTTTATATGCAACTATAATTAACCGATATTTATTCATCATACCAGTAATTCAAAAATAGGCTAATATTATATTATATGACCAAGATAAAACTAATAATAGCAATGATAAGGATACTATATAGTACGTTGTGGATGGGAATGAATAAAATCAAACCTAATCGCACTTCATAATACAGCATACTGTTAATGGAGAACATAACAGTAACAGATTACCAACTATTAGAGAGCTGTACTGTGATCATGTGTTTGTTCCGTATACTTGCATTGTAAGGAGACGTATACAGCCGTAAAATAAAGGATGTCAATATTATAATATCCAATATTGGATCCCAAAGATTGTACAACTCATTAGATTGATTTTAAAGGCAACTACAATTTATGGATGAACTAAGAGAATTAAGAATAGCGTCTTGGACTTCAGCACACACTCCGTTCACTCCTATAGTTAAATAGCATTTTGAAACAATAGCTGATATCAGTTCGCGATGAAAAACTTTACTTCAACTCCTAACACTAAATACAAACTCGAAATCCTAATTTCTCATACTAATTTATAGCCCTCTTTAGATCTTTGTAAGTAGGTGGGCTGTCTCGAGATCTTTTCAGTGTCGCTCAAAGGTCGTCTATAAATAAGTCTCATTTGAGATTAGAAATAATATAACACAGAAGCCAATGGTTATATTGTAAAAGCTTTAGAATATATTCTCCATTAAAAGACAACGTAGTTTGCAACTAAATGCAATCCACGCTATGTACGTTTTTATTCAAACTGCATTTCCTAACAGATTCTAGAAAGAGTTGGCTCATACACAACGGGCACGGTAATAGTTACCATTATACTATTGATGGTACATCTCTTCCACGCGTTCAAGAACATTAAGATTTAGGAGTAATAATAAGTCATGATTTCAAAACAACTACGCATTGCAACGCAGGTGCTGCCAAACGTTATCGTAAGTTATGGTCACTCTGCCGAGCATTCAAATGCTCTGACGAGATGTTTCAGATTTTATATCCCACCTATGTAAGACCACACTTAGAGTACTGTATCCAAGCAGCTAGCCCATGTCTGATAAAGGATACTAACTTACTTGAGCGTTTGGGAACAAAACTAGTGAAGGGTCTTTCTAAACTCCCCTACGATTGGTGCTTAAAACGCCTGTCTTTTCCCCTTGTCGTATCGTAGGACGCGAGGTGACCTTATACTGGCATTTCGTATCTTTAATTATGATTTGGGTGTTAATATGTCTTATCTTTTTGCTCCCCTAGCACTAACAATCTCCGACATCATAGCAAGAAGGTTCACAAACCGCGATCTAATAAACTTAAAATGGGTCCCGTTTTTTTCATCGAGTAGTCAATGACTGGAACGCCTTACCCAAGCAAGTGATATCAGACCCATCAGTGAACAGTTTCAAGGAGCTGGACCTTCACTGGAAGGTAATCTGTTAGGATTGACACAGGCTCACCAACCTACTATCCTTATTACTGAAGACTGAAGACCAAATCAGTGTTCAAGTGATTTTATTTACTCATCCCATGGTTGCACGTTTCCCAGATCTATATTTCTTTAAAAAAGATCGGGAAGCCTGTGCGTTGTAGGTACATACTCAAGGGGGCGAGAATCTAATTTATGGACAAGCCAATTAGAGGCGTTTTAGAGATTTCAAGGTTACGGCTCCAACTTCTGGCATTATAATTGATGTCAGTTCGTGATGAAAACCCCATATATAATTCCTAACTAAGGCAAAGTACGACAATTATTGCGAACTGGATAATAAAAGCACCCGTAACACCGGTTGCAGCCAGGTACTACAATATATTCAGATGTTTGGAGAGCGTACAGACTCCTACATAGGCTTGGTTATGTGCATCGTGTCGTTATCCACAAGTAGCACTTTGTGCACTCAACAACCGGAGTGCACATAAACAATATTGAAGCTATGTGCTCGAGGCTGAAAGAGTTTTTGAGACTTTATCATGGCTCCAGAGGCCGACTATTCTGTAGCCATATGGATGATTTCCTCTACTACGGATTTAGAACCCCTAAACCTCTTTCTAACCTTGACAAGTTTTTGAACCACGTATAAGAAGTGTATCCACTTTATTTCCTTGGTTTTGTACAACATTTTTACTCTATACTGTTTGCTGATTAGCTAATATTTCCCAAGGTCACTCAAGATTCGTTCAAAGGTCGTCCATAAATAAGAGCCTCGCCAAAGATTTGAACTCACTTCATGCATCTCTTTTATTCTGTTGGTGTAGAAAAGAATTCTTTCGGAAAGTGTTGTCTTCCCACTGTCAATGTGAGCGGAAATACCGATATTACGAATTTTGGAAAGGTCTGAGACATTCTAGACAAAAGTTGTACTAAAAGATTATTTTACATTATTGGTTGATATATTTCTTAAAATAACTGGAGGGGCCTTCAGTAATGAGTGTATAGCCCGCACAACATGAAGCATACTATCGACCTTCAAATGAAACTAGGCGCCTTCGTTTTCAAGTGGATCTGGACGAATAGAAGAAGCTTTCGCTTAACGGGCTTCCGCATCTAGTAGCGGTGAATCAGTGATGCCTTCAGTTTAGCACCAAGGCAAATTAAGGATAAAAGACGAAGAAGAAAAAAACTTGGTAAGTTATAGTAAAATTCTGTCCTTAGTTCATAGATAAATATATCAAGTTTTCTTCAAAAAGACTCCTGGGAAGTCACTTGGCCTACCTCAGACGTTAGCGATTTCCGGAATTTGACTGCTCTCGAATACTAAAATGCGAGCCTACAGTCTGTTGGTGTATGTTGTATTCCCAGTTCCTGGGTGTTACTCCTAGGCTTTGTGTTGCTACTAAGCTTAAGTAGGTGTTTAAGAGGATAGTCAGAAGTATTTAGGATTGTCTACGTCATTGAAAGGTTACCTCTAAGACGTCCGTTCTCTAACGGGTAAAGGTTCAGTGGTTAGAGCTGCTCTTCATGAGACTTAAACTTCAGTCATTGGACCGGTTTTGTGGCTCGTCGTTTGAATGCGTTCCAGTGTGTTCTTATCCTTTTCAGATGAGGGAGGAAACACTATGTTTCCATAGATGGGGACAAATAAAATTACTGAAGGTTGCGTGGAAAATTCTTCCATCGAACTGACCGAAAACGCGCTTCGACGTTACCAGCGCAAGATTTGCTCAGAAGGCATTTTTGTCGCCGGACCAGGAGAAGTGTCTTTTTTAGATGCTGCAGTTTCCGGTATACCGAGCCAGAGCTTAGGTTCACTTCAGAAAGTCTTGTGGAGTTAAGGATGAGGCTTTCGCCTACAACGTTGATGTGAGTCCGTCGAAATGTCCGAGAGTGTTGTTCTGTCACCGTCGTTGTTGTTTGGGCCACTAAGACCTGGCAGTTAGGAAACTTTAGCTTTGGCTTGTTGAAGCGAGGCTGCGTGAAAGAATAAGGTTTTAAGATTGAAGACAAATTTACCGATAAGCTTTATCTGGTAGTGAAGCCCGTCTTCTCTTATTGTGTTTTGTACATGCGTTACTTATTTGTTTGAATCGCCTGTATGTGCTGTTGTTACCAGTTCATTTGTATTCCTTCCAGTGGTGCGCTTTGCAGCCTAGCAAATGAAGGTTGCGATTCTTGATGACTGCACCACAATCTGACGTATCGCCTTGATTGCACTGCCCCAATTGTCCATGTCATTTATAATACCAATTAGGGCCAAAATGCTTCTAAGACATTAAATAGAAAGTTAAGGAAATTAAAACACCAATACCACAAGCACCATATCGTATATCGGCTTCAGAGCTCACTTAACTTGATTAGCAGAAATAATTCACCCCGACGCAAGAATTTTTGACCATTCAGAATAAAGCTTAATGTAGTGAAAACTTAGACTTGTCAATGAATCGGCATTTCCAATCATGTATGGAATCAAATTCTCTTAACACAACCAGATTATTCATAATTAATGACAGCAATGTAGATGACCCCAATATTATTTGTAAACAATTCAAGCACCATCTCCTGCGTTGCTTCATTACGGAAAACGGAACCACTATCGACGCACTAACAATATTGACAAATAAGCATGTGTAGAATTTTGGTTTACTATGATATCAGTACTGCTCTAATAATAGACCTAATCATAAAATTGTAAATTTGTCATGATATAACCGCCTAATCTATAAGATCTTACGTGGAAGTCACATCATCGTCTACATCAACTCACTGTATCATAACAATTACCAATACATGATCGGGAACAAACAATATATTTAATATGAATAAAAGATATAAGGTAACATTCAGCAGGGACCACGCCTGCATGGCCGAGTCATGCCATTAGATCAACTCCAATTCATTCAACTCCTCGTTCGCGCCTTCGCCATCGTTAGGTATTTCTCCGCGTTAAATATTGAATATAGTCCAATGCCACAACACATGTACCTGCAGTCGATGTTACACCTATCAACATCAACCAGGTGTGAAGATGGAAATGCTAATCTGATGGTATTTCTGCATCATTCGTGGAGTAGGGTGGCAGAGAATGTCCATTATTTCGGTTGTAACTTCTCAACCTATCCATGGGCTATGGTACCTATCGATCTATATGGAAAGTATTTCTTATCATATATAGATTCAAACGGGATTACTTGGTGAAATAGTTAAATATAGGGTCACTTACTTGACATCCGTACTTTCAAGAACCACAAAAAAACAGCAAAATGCCATTATCATTTTAACTTACGGGAAACCTGATTAGCCCATTTCAACATGGGTTTATGACTACACGCTCATGCTTCACACCGCACTTGGGGTTTTTCGGCCACATTACGCAACGAAGAGATGCTGGTTGATTGATGATAATTTTATGCTTTGAATTTGTTAATCTCTAAGAAAGTGTCTCACACAACTTCCCTCTTCTAAAGTTTTCATTATTTGACATGCGGTGTCTTTTATCTTGGCTCAAATCCTTTTACGGCAGAATGTAGTAGAATCGTTTATTTTGGATCTCGTTACTCTAAGCTCATGATTACAGTCAGTGAGGTTGTACAAAAAAGTGAATGCGGCACATCACTCTTCCTCCTTCTGATTATTTACGTGTGTTTACTCTTCCAATACGGGAAACCACCCCTTTTTGTCGATGACCTAAATGTGGTTTGTTCATTCTGGTCAGTTGCCAAAGAAGGCTGTATTTCAGCTGTAACCAAAGATGACACAAAGAAGTTGCACGAGTGGGCTGTGTCGTGTGATATTATTACACTATATTGTTATCACATTATTTATTTACATATCTGGTTCTGCATAATGTGGAAAGGCATGAATTACGGAAAAACGACCACCCCATGCCGAATAATTGTTCCTGCGTTCGCCATTGCTAACCTCCTCCAAGTATTGTGTGCCAAATACCAATCTTTTTAATAGTTATGTGATCAGTTTAGAGAGTCGTGTAGTTAGGAACCAATACCACTACGCTACTCTCCCACTAGAACCAAAGTGAAGTTGGTTCTATACCAAGTCGAGTGGAATTTTCACGCTCTGGAGGCTGTCAAAAGAGATAAAAATCCTCCGGTATTGATAAGCTGAAAGATAAATCGAAAGGAAAACGGCATGGACTGGCCGGGAAACATATGTAATAATTTCGAGATGTCTGGTGAAATGCTTAACACGCTTAAATTGGAAATCCGCGTGAACATTATTTAAACGTCAAGTAAATTGGGAAAGTAATTTAGTATAGAAATATTTTAACCAGTCACATTAAGATGCATAATAACAGTTCTTTGCACTTAATGACAGCTTTCTTAGCACCATTCCAAACTATTACTGCTCAAACTATCATTTTGCCACCGAATCTTATTACATTAAAGATTTATTTTCTTATTTACTTATTTTTCGATTCATTTTGTAATACATACATTGTCATTCACTCTTATCCAGTTTTACAAACGCACTTATTGAATTGTTAACATATTTTACTTTTCTTTCCCTCACTTTTCTCTTTTTTTTCTCTAAAGTCAACCCAACATTCCTCTAAGTTCCACAGAACTGGTTTATTACAGCGAATGTTATTTAAAATATATTGGGGCTTGTGTATGATTGCATTTTTGAAGGAACCTGAAGTGGTTTCTTCACAACACCTGTGTACGAAAAAGCTGTTTTTGGGTAATAAAAATTGTTCTCCATCTCAACAACCCACACATACCGGTTATCATTTTGACTAGATTAATTATTCTGATCTTTCTGGTCCTTTTCTCATTTATATATGACCTTTAGAATGTGTGTGTTGTCAATGTATGTGTCAATATATATTTGCTTGTATCTGCCACCCTCACAAATGTTGAGTCACGTTGAATTGTTGCCTTTCTTACTACCTGTCTATGTAAATAAATTCCCAGAATATACTCTTTCAACTCAACTTGTAACATCATCGAACAATTAGATTAGCCTACGTATAAAATACAGAGTAAAAAGGAAAAATGATTTATCCTAGTTTATCTATACAACCGTTCATCGCCATGCATCATAAAGTTAAACCAGATGGTTAATCTTTCAGCAGTTTCCTCCAATGTTTTTCTGTTCTGTTCCATAATTAAGACTCAGTCCCTGAACACAATTGAAGGGACGATATACTCTTGTTATTTGAAGGGCTGTAATTATCATCAGCACTGTCACCAGGTATTTCAGAGCACAGCTTATAACCTGTTGCAATCCGCATCAATCATGGTCATTTATAGAGCAAAATAGAAGTTATAGGGCATAACAACCACGCAGATTGACTGGCTGTTCAGCATCAGCTCAAAATCTCTCTTGAAGTCAGTTAGCTCACACTGATTCTAGGACACCCTATGCTTAAGGTTCCGTTGGATGCCTGTTCGACAATAATCAGTCTCACATTGGTGGCTTCTTTCAATGGGGTTGGCAGGATGTTGACTGATAAATATTTGGTCGTAAATACAACTGCACTATTAATCAGTATCCTAAAATCTCTATCAGAGGAAGCCATTATAATGAGATTGATTATTATTGAATAGTGCGAATGTGCTTATTTCCCTGCTTTAAACTTAGTATCTTGATGAGCATAAAATCATTAAATGGTTTTCATTGTTACAACCTGAGTTCAATCTAAGTTTATGGAACAGAATATTTAATATATAGGACCTCAGTTCGAAGTCAGACCGTTGTCTGCATTGACTCTTCCTATCGTGGCGATAAGCAGTTACTTCCGAGGACTTTTGAAGATCACATATTGGATGGGGATAGAATAATATGTTTAACATAAAGAGGAAGAGGTTATATACAGTGATCGCGCCAAGCCAAAGCACGGCATCAGTCATTTAAGTCACTAGCTTCTGGTCTGAGCTATGTTGGTAGGTGCAGACTACTTTGTTGGGGTCCATGTGACTATTGTAACCAATGGTTGGAAACTCTTGGTGAAATGGCTCAGAATCGATCACGATGGCGTCGGTGTATACACTCTCTGTC